CCCCCAAAAAACAAGGTGCTAAACCTGAACGCACCGGAAAACCTGGGACGACAATAACGGTTCGTGATGACTCTCTCATAGTCATGAACTTCAAAGACAACCCTGATCTTCCTCTCAGTTCGCAGGACAAAAATGATAGGATGCTCTGGGGAGAATTGAACAAGAAACTTGAATTTCCAAGAATAGAGCCTTTGACAGTCACACGGCTCACTCGGGGAAAGGAATCTAAGCATCAGAATCACCCGAGTCTACTTCGTGTAACAATTAAGAATGCTATCGACGTAGAGGATGTCTTACTAGCGAGCCATTTACTGAAGTCAGATGGGAATGTAAGAATACTGCCTGGCATACCGTATTCTGAGCGCAATCTCATCCGGAACATCCCCAAAGAAACTCGCGATCAGTTTTTCCGCGCGAGGAATATAATCGTGCAAGGTATTCTGGAAAATACTGACCCTATTCAATCAAAGACTGACATCAGGGAATGGAAATTCATAAAAACAGTCTTTGAGGCTCAAAAGCACACTGAATCAGCATGTGACGAGACTAGCCAAGAAGGATGGTGATTCTAGACCCCATCTAATGAAGATGACCTTCCCATCTTCATATATGGCGGCTGCAACTCTGGAAGCATTTCATGCCAACAGACGTCGACTGCCACCTGGAATCCACATGCACCCGGATAAGCCATACGAAGCTAGGACCAGACACAAAGACAAGTTGGGGTTGACCATTCCACGTGTGGACTGTCTAGACGATAAAAAAGCGTGTAAAGGACAGGGTCTACCACCTCGGCAAACCTCATATAGGTGGGCTACCTGTCCATTCACATAAGGCTCATACAGAAAAACAGGACGAAGCTCACGCGTTCCAAATTGAAAGCATAAACTGCTTATATATGAACGCCGCGAGTCTACCAAACAAACTGGATGAACTACGTGAACTTAGCAATGCTAATAAGGCCCATCTGATAGGAATATCTGAAACCTGGATATCTCAGTTCTCGGACCATGAGTTAGCATTACCTGGGATGACTTTGTTCCGCAATGACAGAAAATCAGGAATTGGGGGCGGAGTAGCCATATACATACGTTCTTGATTGGAGGTGCACCAAGTTCACAACCTCGAGTTTAACAATCTTGAGGAATCCATATGGTGCTCTGTAAGATTGTCCAGTACTTCGAGGTGTCTATTCGGAGTCATTTACAGGGAGCCAACTGCCGACATCGAGTACGATAGTCGTATGCTGGAAGGACTATCCCGCTCTACTCGTCTCGGTTTCACACATCCTGATTCTAGGGGACTTTAATCTCCCTAGAGTCAACTTCGCGGAACACACGTATACTGGAGGCGACAAATCAATTGAAGCTCGGTTCTTCAACCTCATCGATAACTTGGGATTGTACGAAAATGTGAGGTCAGCAACTCGTTGGAGAAACAATCAGACCCCACCGCGCTTAGACTGTATTCACAAACGAAGAATTTCTAGTTGACAACCTCTCAATCCTGGCTCCGCTGGGAAAAAGCGATCATGCCGTCATAGCCTTCAGTTTTGTCATCAAAACTAAGCTAAGATACCCCACCAATAACTTGCGTTGGAATTTTAAACGGTTAAATGTGCCAGCTCTACACGAGTATCTATAACAGGTGGTTTGGGATGTTCACCCCCAACTCGATGTGGATGATCATTGGGATTTCTTACTACACACGCTCTTATGTGCTACAGACCATTCAGTTCCTCAAACGGTTCCCAAAAGCTGCAAGCCACCTACAATAATCAAGAACCGTACCCTTCGCCTGCTAAGCCGCAAAAGGTACTGTTGGGCGGAATACGAACGAACTAATAACGACGGAGCGTACAGGCAATATAATTATATCAGGAACATATGCACGAAGGCTATAAGAGAAGATAGGCTTCAGTACCAGACAAAGCTTATGGACAAATTTGCCTCTAATCCTAAAAGCTTATTCCGTTATGCAGCCTCTCTTCGTCAAGCCAAAACTGGAGTTTCCCAAATGCTAGGACTTAACGGCCCGACCAACAACGATGGCGACGCCTTCTGGCTGAACATTAGTCCCAGACATTTCAACCGACCAACACTAACTTTACTGATGACAGTTTCATTTGCAATTCCACAGGACTTTCCGAAGTGAACCTAAGCGCTGACTTGGTGTTCCGGAAACTGCAGCACTTAAGATTAGACACGTCTTCTGGCCCGGACATGGTCCACTCCGCCATACTGAGGGAAGCAGCCTCAATCTTGACAACGCCGCTTAGCGTGATGTTCTCACAATCGCTAAGCCGAGGCAAACTACCGGAAATTTGGAGGCTGGCTCACATCACACCAATTTTCAAAGGAGGTCGACGCAGCGAACCTTCAAGCTACCGACCGGTGGCTCTTCTCTCTATACCTCCAAAAATTGTGGAGTCGGTGATGTGCGACGCTATGCACGACTATTTATTATCCTTAAACTTATCTTCGCTTCAACAGTATGGTTTCAGGAAGTTTCATTCTTATATGACCAACATGCTGACTGCGGTGGACAGATGGACAACCATCCTTGATCGCAAGCTTAAGGTTGATGTCATTTACCTTGACTTCTCAAAAGCTTTTAAAATGTCCAGCCACACATGTCTTATTATTAGGCTCAAACGATTGGGTATCAAATCACCTCTAATTGATTGGCTCACTTCATATCTAAAAAATTGACATTTTAAGGTCAGGGTTAACTTCACTTTCTCTCAGGCTATAGAATGTCTTAGTGGGGTCCCTCAGGGCTCGGTACTAGGACCTCTTCTCTTTTTGATTTATATAAAAGATCTTCCACAACAGGTATCGTCAGACTTATTACTTTTTGCCGACGATGTGAAACTTTGGAGAGAGATACGCAACCAAGACGATATACAGGCACTTCAGGAGGATCTGATTCGACTTCAAAGTTGGGCGTATGACAACGGACTTATCTTTAACACTTCAAAATGTAAAGTAGTCCATCTGAGACATTTTTCAGACTGCAACTACAACTTAAGAAACTCCTCTCTAGAAGTATCTCAAGTTGAAAAAGATTTAGGAGTGCCGGTACCCTACGATTTGAAGTCATACTCTGTGACAAAAATACCTTTCGAAAAAATCTTGCACTGGTAACATTGAAGCGCATTCTTGGCCAGTTTGACAGGAAAACTTTCCACATAATCTTCAACAGTTTTATTCGTCCCCATTCAGAGTACGGAAACATTATATTTCCTCCCTCACTCCAAAAGGATAAGGACACTCTGGAGCGTATCCAACGGCGAGCCACGAAATCAGCTCTGGGACTCAAATTCAAGCCTTATGAAGGGCGTCTCCAATCACTTGACCTTTACCCATTAGAGTATAGGTGTCTTAGATGTGACCTAATGGCCTACAGTATCATTAACACTCCTGGACATCCCCCAAACACCTACTTAAGCTCAGTCCCAATATAAATCTAAGGGGTAACACCCAGAAATTGGAGATACAACATAGCAGAATGGACTGTAGACACAACGTCTACTCCTTAAGAGTTGTCAAATGCTGGGGTTCGCTGCTGACTGAACCAGTGCAAGCGACTTCCCAGAAGTCATTTAAGAGGAAACTTGACCTATTCTTAAGGACTAAAGATAATATCTTACTATGATTTACTAATATCTTTTCTTGTTTTATTGTTAACATACCAAGGTTCCTGCCTGGAGGATTTGGTGATCCCCTACTACTAGACACGGAAGCCTGTTAAGCGAAAGGTTCTTCTATTCCGTCCACAACCATTTGAACCATTTGAACTTATTAGCAGCCGATGAAATTTGGTGCGCTCTTAAAGATCAAAAGTTATCTATTGATGTAACTTACATTGGCTTCAGCAAAACGTTTGACGAAGTTCTTCACAACCAGCTGTTATACTAGTTAAGTAATATCGGGGTTGGGAGGCAATTTGTTAATGTGGATAGAGGGTTTCCTAGTTCGGTGTCAACAAGGAGTATGAGTGAACTCAAAGTTGTCGAGTCGGGAAACTGGGCCTAGTGGAGTAACGCATCGTACTGTTTTGAGGCCAGTGTTGCCCTCCTCTTCGTAAATCACCTTCCTAGTCTCCTATCATCATCGATCTTGTTATATGCTGACGATGTCAAGATACTGCAAGCGATAAAAAGTAGAGGTGATAGTTAAGTTTCAAAATGACCTAAAGAAGTTATCTGGATGGTCTCAAACTTGGCGGTTGCCGACAAATGGTTCCAAGTGCATTGTAATGTCTGTTAGTCGCAAAGGTACAAACACACACAGTGAATAACATTGAGCTGTCCGTTTTCCAGACACAAAACGACTTATTAGTCATCGTTAGCCAATGCTTAAGAACTGTTAAACACTGCCGTACAGTAGCAGCCAAAGGTTTCAGTCCCGATGGTCAATACGTAAAGCCTTTAGCTACGTCGATGCTAAAATCTTTTTGTCTTCGTGTACAGTATTTGTTCGTCACAAACTGGAGTACTGAATATAAGCAGCTAGTCCCTGCTTAAAAAGAGACAGTGAGCTGCTGGAATAGATTTTCAGAACTGCAAATATGCTGATTCTCAGAATTTCAAAGCTCCTGTATGATGCACGATTGACTAAACTAAACCTATTTCCCTTGTCATATAGATGAATTAGAAGCGATTTCATCACAATTTTTAAACTACTTGATGAAGTATTGGCAAATGATATGCTTTAACTTGTCTTGTCTTCCAAAACAGAGAGTTAACGAAAACACTTCAAAAAAGGTTCATAAACCTGGAACAATTTACTTGTAAGATGATTATAGACTTTCCCATCGAATCATCAACGAATAGAACCCATTATCTCAACACACGATTGAAGCTCCATCTGCTACCAAAAGGAAGTTGAGTCAACTGAGGGACTGCCATTACTAAGAATAACCCAGGCCACAATTCTGTTGTTCTTCTATGCTGAAGTTGTAACAGAATTAACCAATCAAAACTGAGATTACGTCTCATACAATCTGCGCTAAGTTTAAAGTGCAGCAATTGTTGCATGGGAAATTGTCCGCTGGTAGTTTCAATTCCAATATTACTTTATTTTCGGGCTTGTGTTATTCCTGGTTGATTTTGTTATTAAGTGGTGAAAGCCTTGAGTGTAATTTGCAAACCCAACCCAAATCTGTAGCCTTTTCTAGTCCCCAACCCTTGCCTTCTTAAATTATAACCAATGCCATGTTATGGAAACTCTATGGGGTAGTAATTCATACTTAGAATTCAATTGGTATTGTTTGATCGAATCTTCCCATTGATGTTTAGAACTGTAAATGATCAGTGTTTATGGGGTAGTGTTAAAAGACGGGAAGCCGAGAAAGAACTACAACATAGGTTAGACGCTGGCGAAAAGGACCTGAAAATTGTAAATTTTCGGGTTGTAAGACTTCGACAGAGAATGATGCCGAAGCCACTCTGGGTGAAGCACGAAGGCACCTAAACAGGCTTCGGATCTGTTACACCAATGCACAAAGCTTACTTAATAAGCGATCGGAACTGGGTGTACAGATTGACTCTATAAAGCCAGATATAATCGCAGTAACAGAAACCTGGCTGACACAGGCTATAGATAGTATAGAACTTGATTTCGAGGGCTTTACGTTAGTAAGGGCCGACAGAACACAAAAGCGCAAAGGAGGGGGAGTAGCTCTATTCATTAGGAATGCTATCCCGTTTACCATTATCGATAGTGTATCCCATGAGAGTGGGACGTGTGAATTAGTTAGTCTTCGCTTAAAATGCAAAGGACAAGAGCTGCTGATTGGTTTGGTCTATCGCAGTCCAAGCTGTGAGGCAAATGAGATCCTGTTAAGCAGTCTCAATACTTGGTCCCAAAGTGGTCGATGTCTAATCCTAGGGGACTTTAATGCACCAATGGTAGACTGGGAAAATCTGCGAACTGAATCGTCAGAAAATTCCTTCGAGCAGGAACTAGTTGATGCGGTTATCACATGTGCCCTAGTGCAACATGTGAAAGAAGCGACTAGGTACGACCCGGACACTGAATCATCCTTATTAGATCTTATGCTGACTCACTATGAGGATGATGTTGCGAACCTCCACCATATGCCACCCTTAGGTAAAAGTGACCACGCAGTCTTAACTTTCGACTTCCATATAACTGCCAGTCATGAGGACGCGTCAGTCCAGTCCAGACCCAACGTCTGGAAAGCAAACATACCAGACATCATGCACTCAGCATCGTTAATAGATTGGACAATAGACCCAGAGTCCTCCATTGAAACGGCCTGGGACACATTTCGAAAATCATACTTAAAAGTTACCACACCTCACATCCCTTGGACTATACCAAAGGGGCCGAAAAACTCACCACCATGGTTCAGTAGGGAGGTCCGTATCCTTCTCCGTAAGAAAAGGAAAACGTGGGATAGATTTAGGTTACTGCGGACTGATGAGTCAAAATCTCAGTATCGAAAGGCTCGGAACACTTGTGCCTCGACCCTCCGTAAGTCTAGAAAATTGTACGAAGAAAAACTTGTTAAGGAATCCATAGAATCTCCTAAACGCTTGTATTCCTGTATAAACCAAAGGACAAGGAGAAAAGGAAATATTCCTGCTCTATGGGGAGACAGTACTGCTTCATCATTAGTGGAGGACGACTTTGGTAAGGCTCAAGCGTTCTCGAACTACTTTAGCAACGTGTATACCATAGAAGCGCCCTTCTCGCCAGCGTATACAGATCCCCCCATACATACACTGGATAGCGTGACCATTAAAGAACTCGATGTCTTTGATCTGCTAAATAAGCTTGACACAGGTAAATCCACGGGGCCCGATGAATTACATCCTAGGCTACTGAAGGAATTATCTAACTTCGTTGCGAACCCTTTAAGTACATGCTTTAACCTATCCGTTACGCAGGGTCGCTTACCGAAAGATTGGAAAAACGCCATAGTAAGTCCTGTCTTCAAAACAGGCACGAAACACAAACCTGAGAACTACCGCCCCGTTAGCCTAACTAGTGTGGTTGTTAAAATATTAGAAAAGATTATTCGGAAGGAGCTGTTTAAGTATCTCGATAAAAACCGGATCCTCTCGGAGAAGCAGCATGGCTTCAGTATAGGTTATTCTTGTCTCACTAACTTATTAGTGGCTCGTGAAAGCTGGTGTGCTCTTAAGGACCAAAAGCTACCTGTAGACGTCACCTTCATTGATTTCAGTAAAGCCTTTGATAAAGTTCCGCACAACCGGCTGTTATATAAGTTAAGACATGTCGGGATTGGAGGTAATTTATTGATGTGGATAAAAGACTTCTTAGTTGGGCGTCAACAAAGAGTAAGGGTGAACTCAAAATTATCTAGCTGGGAAACTGTGCTTAGTGGAGTGCCCCAGGGTACAGTTTTGGGGCCAGTGCTATTCCTCTTGTATGTAAATGACCTTCCTTGTCTCCTATCATCATCGGTCTTGCTATATGCTGACGATGTCAAGATATGGAGAACGATACGATGTAAGAGTGATAGCTTAGAACTTCAAAATGACCTGAAGAAGTTATCTGAATGGTCTCAAACATGGCAGTTGCCGATAAATACTTCCAAGTGTGTTGTGATGCATATCGGTCATCAAGGCACAGATACATACACGATGAATAACACTGAGCTACCTGTTGTCCAGACATATAATGACTTAGGAGTTATCGTTAGTCAAGACTTAAAGACTACTGCACACTGCCGTGCAATAGCCGCCAAAGCGTTTAGAACCTTATGGTCAATACGTAGGGCTTTTAGTCATGTCGACACTAAGACGTTTTTGACTTTGTATACAGTGTTCGTTCGTCCTAAACTTGAGTACTGCATACAAGCGGCTAGCCCCTGCTTTAAAAAAGACAGAGAGCTCCTGGAAAAGGTTCAGAGAATGGCGACTAAGCTGGTTCCCGCAATAGCGAAGCTTCCGTATGAATCTCGACTGGCCAAGCTGAACCTTTTCCCGTTGTCATATCGCAGAACTAGAGGCGACTTGATTACAGTCTACAAATTGCTTAGTGATAAATTTGCACCTAACATGCCCTCATTTTTCTTGTCTTCCAAAACAGAGAATTTACGAGGACACTCCAAAAAAGTTCATAAGCCGAGAACAAATTACTTGTCAGCTGACTATCGACTTTCCCATCGAATCATCAACGAGTGGAGTTCACTACCTCAGCACGTGGTTGAGGCTCCATCCGTCGACTCTTTCAAAAGAAAGTTGGATCAACTGAGAGACCACCATTGCCAGGACTAACATAGGCCATCGAGCCTCCTGTCCTTCCCAAACTGAAACTGAAACTGAAACTCTTACTCAGAATACTACCCCGACTCCCTATATGATAACCCCACATTTTTTCCTTACTACGAAGAATAAGTTGGCCTATGATGGTTAATTATTTGAGCCAGAGCTGATATTCCACTATTTCACTATTCATTATTTCATGGCTAGGCAGCGTTTCTTTATTTGCTCAAGTCCAATCAACCAATAAAGGCGAACAAAGGGGAGACGCGCCAAAACTTCTACTTTTTCGCCTGCCCAGGGGAAATAATGCGGATTTCCCCCTTTTTGTCGCCCTGTCTCTCAAATGTCGCCGAATTGTCTACTTTTCGCCTAAATATACGCCAACTTGTCTACTTTTGCTACAACTTTTAAAACAACCTAGGTTGTTAGTATGTTGTTCTTTTTCCACGGTTTCTATGGAAGCCGGTCTACTCTTCCCCAGTGTGTCTATGTATTTACTCCTCACTGAGACATTTCCTCAGAATTCACACACGATGGAGAAAAAGTACATTTCCCCCAAATTAACACTTTGCTCTCCATTAATTCCCCTCTTTTGGTTGTTTTGGTACCTTGAGCCATGTTTGATAACGTCTGAAGCCACTGAGTTGCACTGCCTTGAACTCACTTTTTGAAGTCCCGAAAGAGTGCAACTTAGTGGTCACGAAGTGGCTTAGTAAGACCGAGGGTGAAAAGTCCACTCCCTCTCGAAATACTCACACGACCACACATACACACCAACTGCCAGGAAAGTCCTACTCACTGGCCTCTCACAGCAACGTTCCGTCTACGTAATTGGGAAGATGAAAAGCCAACTCAGATTCAAAGCCAATGTTGTTCGTGGGTACCGGGATCCTCAGTTACCGAATAGCGTATAAACCTATGCCTGGTCACCGCATGTCCTGACGTTGCTCTATTGTCTTTTGGATTGGACCTTTAGGTCAGAAGGCCGGAGAATGACTTATTAGGCAAACCACCTACTTCAGTTTGGGCTTCCGGGTATTATCACAGCCTGCTCACAAAAATGGTGATAAAAAATATGAAGAAATTGATTCAATACTAACTCTAAAGATAATTGTGTGAGCAGAAACATAACACCTTTAAGTGTTTCTTCACCTATATCACTCATAACTATATTCATTAGCATCAAATGATCAGTCCGTAGTTACAGCGTCGATTGTCTGGGTGTTTCCATAACACCTTTCGGTTAGCTTTTGATTTCTAGAATGTATTTCCTATCCACTCTCAGTGTCGAAGAAGGTTTAACAAGGTTCTCCCGTCCACGCTGTCAAACGTTTTCTCATAGTCGAGGAAGTTGATGAATTATGGCGAGTTCCACTCAATTGATTGTTCAACGATGATCAGTAGTATTGCAATTCCAGTCAGCCAGCTGCAACGTAGGACCAGGCACATATATGCATCGGTCCAAGTTGCCATACCTCATTAGCACAGCAAGACGAACACCGGATTCATAAAAACAGTCAACTCAATGGTGTGATATATAAAAGAATGGTTTTATGTAAGGATATAGTATAGAAAGAAAGAAATAGTTCATAGAAAGGGACATATGAAGCTATTTCGATCTCATAGTCCAGGGGAATATAGAGAATGTATACACCGACGCGATTGTGAGCCATGTCACACAGGGTCTCCAATCATTGGTTGCGATAGTCGCGTGGACCCCAACAAAGTAGCCTACATCCACCAACACGGCCCAGACCAGAAGTTAGTGACTTTATGGACTGATGTCATGTTTTGGTTTGACCGCCCCTAACTTTCTTCCAATCATCTTCAACATCAGTTAGCATTGCATGTCGTGGTAATCAGTGTTTAGGCATACGTGATACGTGATCCAACCATCTCAGTCGATGAAGATTCACAAGCTGATCAACTGATTTACCATCATTCCCTAATACCCTGCATCTAACCTCACTATTACTAACCCAATGATCCCAGCAGATGTGGGAAATATTTCTAAGACATCTTCCTCCGTCCAGGTAAACTGTCGTGTAACCGCATCTACATTTGTCCATAGCCACCAGTTGAAACTGTCTGTAAGCAATCACATTAGGTAAGCAGAACACTCACTTTCTTTTCCTTTTAGTAATTTATGTGGAACCGATATAAATTACTTTAAGTAAACGTTTATATAATGTCATTCGATTATACGTACAAAATACTACTATCGTCACTTGATTGGAATCCCACCATACCATTTTCATACATTCCCACCATTACATAATTTTGACAATACATCTTTTAAACTTCCACAACAGCTCAGTTTTGATAACCTGATGTTTTGGCTTCTCGATATTGTGAAGAGCGTTTTGTTTTAGGATTCTCTTAGACATATTTATCTACCTGGTCAGGATCATTCAGTTGTTATCATTAGAACAAAAGCATACAAATGATAATCAACTAACCACCCAACACAACACATAATCTGCCAAATACTTTTTACCGCGAGAATGGTTGTGCACCATCTTATATGAAGCTATGATAGTAGTAGTAGTATATCTCTGGCAGAACAGGTACACACTTTTTACAGGCATTATTAATCATTTACAACGTTGAATTATAAATAAGATGCTGCTCAAGTAAAGTTGTTGGGAGAGACTCTAATTTGTGTACGAGGCAATCAGAAGCGTTTTAAAAACTTCCGTGTTACGGCACCAACTTCAGTGCTTAATGCTAACGTACGATCGGTTCACAAGGAGCTTTGTACAAAACGTGATAGTTGAGTGGTTATAATAAATTAAACGACGAGACTATAATTTGTGGGCGAATCAATCAGGTATAAATTGAATAGATCTCGGATTTTGACGCGAAAGCCTTTCATCTATTTGGCCAAATAAATTTCTGGCATTATAGCTGATCTCAGTTTGTGATGAAAACCCTATATATAATTCCTAACTAAAGCAACTTATGACAACTATCGCGAACTGGATAATAAAAGCACCAGTAACACTGGCTGCAGCCAGGCACTACAATATATACGGATGTTTACAGGGCGTACAGACTCCCACATAGGCTTGGTTATGTGCATCGTGTCGTTACCAACCAGTAGCATTTTATGTACTCAACAACCGGAGTGCACATAAACAGTATTGAAACTATATGGTCGTCCATAAATTAGAGTCTCGCCAGTTGTTGAATAAATAAGATCAGTGAGAATAAATGGAAATATACTTGTGAATTTGTACTAGTGAGTTATTAGTCAGTCTTAAGTGTCCGTATTGTATAACGAGTACAGTTTTTGTGGCTTTTTCAAATGTGGTCTGCTCTGTGACATTGAGAGCGCACATACCTAAATTAGTCCTAGGTTATCAGGCGCCTAGTTCTCATAATCCTTTAGAATTATAGCTAATATCCAAAAGAACTGGACATTCAGTATTATCTTCACTCGCTGACAAGTCGAGGTTACCTACTATACCATTGTGAATAGTAAACTGGAGGTCATCTTCATCGGTAGTTTTCGATACCATGGTAGGCGACACTTGGAATAAAAGATGCGGGGAGTTAGAAAATCATATGTGAATTTGCTAAAGACATTTTATCTGGTATCTGGTGTATAAAAATTACACAAAACAAGCGAGGATGTCTGAAGAACTATTCTGACCCGAATAGTAGTAACAAAAGCCTGGAAAAAATCATTACAAAAAAGTATCGCCAACATTTACAGCGTCATACAAATTACGGAATATCAGCACACTGAAAGATTGAATACTGCCGCAACACCTAAAATCCAGTGGAAAGTAAAGAATGAACCACCAGACTGCGACAGCCCACAAAGATGGTGGAAAAGATACTTCGCACCTAAATCTGATAAGCAGACTACCGAATCTATAAATCAGGGTTGAGTTTATTTCCGGCTATTTACAGTGCTATCTTTCTTTTCTGAGTTGAATTTATAGTTTTGGTCGTTTATAATGCATAAAAACTAATGCTATCGTGTTGAATTAATTAACTCTAGTAAACTCAACCCAAAGAATATCATTTTTCCTAGAAGTCAATTTTACATCTGTACATTTACTGAGTATACTAGTTCTCAGACATGTTGGACTGTTAGATTCAATAGATCTGGTTTTCTGTAGTGTGATCCGGTTAAACCCATGTGGCTTGGTGTATGGTTTTGTGGGGGGGGGGGAATATTGTGCAAATATATTCCCATTCTCGTTCTTTTCCCCTAGTCCATGTCGTCCCATGATATTTTCATATCGGTGTTGCCCATTCCGACATTGACATTTAGGTCTCCCATCAGGATGGTCAGGTCCTTTCCTGGGCATTTCGCTATGATCGATTGCAGCTTCACATTGGTGGGTGCACAACATTGGATAATATTCACTGTAATTTCTCCTTTGTTTTGAAGGATGTTTAGATGATCCTGGGTCCATGAAATTCCCATCCTATGAGTGCTTTCTGTGCTTCTTTGGACAGTATCAGAGCAACTCCCTAAGTGTGCGGAGCGTTTTCCTCTTTGTGACCCGAGTATATCAGCATCTCTCCTGAATCTGTCGTTTTCTGTCCAGCTTGGATCCAATAAGTTTCACTGATTCCGAGAACCACCAAGTTGTATCTTCTCACATCTCTAGCTATTTGACTGGTCCTCCCAGTTTCCCACATTGTCCGGACATTTGGCATGCCTGTATTGATTGTTGCTGTGGTTGTTAGAAGGGGCATCGGCCTCATGACTTCTGAAGAATTCTGATTTTCACTATGAGGCGTTAAAATTCTTCTGAATCAAGATCCTTCAACTATTGGGGGAGAGTTTAATTTGTTTAGTTTGGTTAGCGTTTTTTAGAAAGGTTTACTACGGGTTGTGGTCGCCGACCCTATACCCAACCCTCCTCCTTTATCCGGTTTTGGTACCGACAGTAACCCCAGAACATCAACATGCGGAATCATGTTTTTACCAAAGCATTTAAAATGCGAAAACCGAGAGGCTTCATTCTCAATGCATTTTTCAAAATGGATCTAGAATCATTAATAACATAATACATGTAAGATCTATCGCTGAATTCTGTTCGTCATTATCTTCTGATTTATGCCTATCTGACATACTGAGGATGGAATTAATACAACGGAATTTCACTAGCAAAATGCTTAAAATCGATGCACCCATTGGCTGTTGTTTCCGATACCAGACCCTAGTAATTGAACCCCACTTTCTTGACTTTTTATTAATTTCATGTCTTTACATATTGCTCTATTCACAATTTATATATTCCTTTACTTTTCCGCTCACTTCAGTAAACATTTGTCCGCTATTACACTCTTCTGAATGTTTGTGCTTTATTTATAACCTATAATCTGTACTATCGTCACTTGAATCACTGAGTCGATGTCTCACCTGCAGTTTATATTTTGTAACCACTTGACAAGCTTGTAAAGTAGTACCTCTAGAAATGATGTTCACCAAAAGCATATGAAGCAGAAAGCATCGTGTGGGACATAATATCTTATCTAAATATTATCTTGAAAAAGTCCAACATCACAGAAGGAGGGAGGGTGGAGTCTCTGACCAGCAAGCTCTGATGGTTAGGGCTATGACTTCAATCCCTCTATGTTTATAGGCACAAACGTTTGTTTTTTGGACAGCTTATGACTGAGGATGAGGCAACCAATCAGTGATGCTGGAATTGTTCTCCTGTGTCCGGTACTAAGAGTCATGTTTCAAATTTTATGTTGTATTTGCTATTATACCAAGGTAACTAAAGACATGCAAACTCAGTCTTTTGCAGTATGATCTGATGAATGAAACCATATGATAAAACTAACTTTAATTTTCTCTGCATAATTCAAACTCATTCCATCTTGTTATACATCATAATTAATTGTTCTTTTCCACTGTATTCTCTTACCTGAAAACCTTTTAACTACATTTTAATCTAGTAGTCAAAGCTACTACGAGTTTTATTTATTTATTTAACATACGCTTGTGTGTTCCACTGAAAACCGCTAGGCATTGTTGAGTTCTATATCCATATACCTCGCAACTAGTTTATTTCCCTTTTTGTCAA